TGTACCGGGGGCCCGGCCCCCAAAGGTGGGCACCGGCCCCCGCCAGCTGGGACCTGTCGCTCCGTCGCGGCGGCTAAAAATAAACAAAATAAAGCCAAATAGTTGCCAGCTTGCTAGGCGAAGGGTCGGGCTGGGTTTAGCAGATGGCCCTGCTTTTCTGCCTTTATTTAGATCTAGCTCTATTTATTTTCCCTCCCCGCCCCGGGGTTGGGAGGGAGACGGGGCTGAACCACGGCTCTCGTGATGCGCTGCCTCGAGCCGTCTGCCGGCGGCAGGGTGAGGACCCAGCAGCTCCTGCGGGCTTTAAATGCGTATTTCCACGGACGATACCGCAGCCCTACAGCCCCCTTGGATTATATTGCATCCCCACGTCCTTCTCGGATTCTTCTGCATCCCCTCTTCGCTACCCATGTCTGCTCCGGGGGCATCTCCTTGGCAGGGCGAGCTCCTTCCCACCAGCTTTTCCCCCATCCCATGGGATGCATCTTGCTACTGGGATGCTCCTGCCCCTGATAGCGGTTTTGCTATGAAAAATTATGCATAAAACCCTTCTTTGTTTTTCTTTTCTTTTAATTCAGTAAGACTCAATTAAAGGTCGCGGCGCATTCTTTTGGAGAGCTGGTAATTCTCCTCGGCGGCAGGCGTGCTCGCGGCCGGAAAAATAACCAGCCCTGGGACAAATCGGGCTGATGGGAGCTTATGTCAACTGTCAAAATGGGAAGTGACCTTCTCCCGCCCCGCTAGCGGGATAAAATCGGGACCGAGCCGCAGGGCCCGGCTGCGTATCATCCTCCCGCTCCCCTCTCCGAATGCAGAAGCCGTCGGGTTGCTGGAAGGGCGAAGCAAGCCAGTGAGCAAACTGGTTTCTGGATAAAACCACCAGCATCTCTCGGCTGGGTTTATTTTACCCAGGTGGTGGTGGTTTCTCCTTGCTTTGCTTTTGTTTTTTTGGAGGCTTCTCTGCAGAAATACGGCTTTTTTTTTTTTTTCTCTCTCCCCTGTGGTCCTCGGCCCCGTCGTATCTCCTGGTGGGGCTGGTTTGTCGTGGATTTATGGCTTGGTTGGCACCGCATCCGTAGGGATAAAACCCGGAGCTTGCGAAAGGGGGAGAGAAGGGAATCGCCTGCTCCCACGCTAATGGGAAGCAGATTAGGTGACACATGAGAGCAGCCCTGGCTGCCAACTGCTTTCTGTTTTGAGGGCCAGGGAAAGAGTTCGAGGAGGAAAAACAAGCGTCCCCGGGTCCTCCTCCCAAATAAATCCCTATTAATGTGTTTACGGCGGCAACGGGCTCGTTGCAAAAGTGGCTGGAAGAGGATATTTGCGGCGGTAACGCAGGTCAAGGAGGGGAAGAAGAGATTTATTTTTGTTTTTTTATGGCTGGGGAAGGGGACTTTGCAGCCTGGTGGGGTTGCAGCATCAGCTTGTGCACGTGCTGCGGTTGCAAGGGGTTTATAGCTCGTTTACCAGGGGTAAATGCAAATTTGGGAGGCGGTCCCGGGCCTCAACTGCCTCCTGCTGTGCTCTAGACCTACATATCCGTATGGATTTATGGAGCCGTACGGCTCGATGCAAATCCACGCGGGGCAATTGCACCCACGCTGCGCTGCAGCTCAAAGGGGTTTTGGCACAGAGGGAATAAATAGATCCCGTTTTTTGGGATCATCCTGGGTCTGTGCATCCCCTATATCCCCCTCCCAGGGGAAATGAGGGTCCAGGTGAGGGAGAAATGGTCGCTGGGGGCGGGGGGGGGGGGGTGGGGG